GCTAGGGCTGATGGAGAGAGACTCTCTGCAAAACTCACCAAAATTGACACTTGGCCAATTTTTAGAAAATTCAGTCCCAACAAAATCTAAGATGCTTCCACCTCAAATCTCTTCAAGCACAGAGTCTGTAAGCTGAAATGAGAGTTGGAAAGACTTCGAAACAAGGGCATGTTGGACATTTCTGGACAATTTTATCCGGAACACAGTGACACCAGAAGGGAAAACAGATTCAAGACAGGAAGGATGTGACTGATAAGAAGCTGGGTAGTGGGGATTTAGGAGAGGTTGAAAAGGAGAGCTTGCATACACTGGCTCTGCCAATAGTTACAATACATTCGCCACCCACGAGGCCAAGGAAAATTACTGTAAATGAGGATAGCCATAATTCAGAGAACGTCAATGTGGCTCAGGAGGCTGCTTGGGGGTTGAAGAAGTGGAGACAGCAGGACAAGAATATAGCAGTAATAGGAACTCTATAATTAAGATGATAGGTGGTGCCCTCTGCAACCAAGAAGGAGAATCCTGAAGGGCATGATGTTTACCTGGTAGCAGGATACAATATTAATCATTGCAGGTGGAGAGGAAATTGGAAAGGTGGAGGATAAAACCAGCGGTCAAGCTCCATGTTCAAACATCAGACATAGGAACAATGAGGAGACTCTGCTAAAAGCAGTTAGATGCTAGATTAAAAAAGCAGGACTCAAAAGGTCATAATTTCTGTAATTAGAGCCATGTACAAACTGGCATTGGACCAGGCAAACTCAGGAAAAGTAACATGTTGCTAAAGGGCAGGTACAGTAAAGAAGGGCACTGGCACAGGCACAGTTCTGAGACAGGAAGGAGTTGGCATGGCACAATGGGCTCAATTTGAACTGTGATGGGACTCACGTCCTGTCAGAAATGGAGGTGAGAAAGACTTAAAACTGGTAAGCAGGTAGGAAGAAAACATGAACAGCCTAACAGAAAAAAAAATACAGGGCAGGGCTGTGGGAGGAACCAGATAGAGTAGGGATTAGTGAGACATGGCTACATAAAAATCAGGTCTGGATATGAAACACGGTCATGTATAATATGTTTAGAAAAGATAGAAAAGGAAAAAGAAATGAGGAGTGGTTGTACCTTTTCTAGCTAACGGAATGATAGTAGAAAAGAGGCCCAGAACTATCAATAAGGCAAAAATAGAACCCATACACTAAGTATAGCATAGATAGAAAATAATAACAAATCTGCCTAATTAACAGATTTATTGTACAGACAATCTGATAGCAGAAAGGACATGGAGGAAGAAACATGCAGAAAATTTTGTGACCTGGGATTAAAACATGGAATACGAAACCTAGGTGATTTCAACTATCATAATATTAATTGGAGAGAAGAGGTAGGTAAAGCAAATAAGGGAATGAATCTTCGACAATACATGCAGAACGCTTTTCGAACCCAGTATGTAAGAAGCCAAACAAGAGAGGATTTGTTCCTAAGTCAAGTAATGGAAATTGAACCAGAGTAAAAGCAGGAAACACCTAGTCAATAGTTCTTTGTGTTCTTTCATAGGGAGTGGGCATCACTGGCTGGACTAGCATTTATTGCCCATCCCTAACTGTGCAGTTAAGAGTCAAACATATTGCTGTGGGACTGAAGTCATACATTAACCACACAAAGTAAAGATGGCAAATTTCTTTCTCTGAAGGACATTAGTGAACCAGCTGAGTTTTTACAACAATTGGTAATGGTTACATGATCACTGTAAGACAAACTTTGTTTCCAGATCCTTACTGGATTCAAAATGCACTATCAACCATAGTGGAAATCAAACCCATGTCCCAGAATCTTAGCCTGTGTTCTGGATTACTAGTAAAGTGACTCTATAACTACACCACTGCCTCCATGTGAGTGACCATAATATGATGACAGATAATGTCTTCTCTTGTTGGGAAGAGGAAAGCTAAAGGTCATTAATGTTGTTCAGATCTTTAACAAGAAATCCAATGGAGAATCAAGAAAACAAATCTTTCCCACAGAGTAATAAGAATATGAAACCTGCTACTACAAGCAGTGGTCGAAAGGAATAGTTTAGATACATTTCACGGAAAACTAGATAAGGGTATCATATATCACATAACACAATTTCTTCGACATTTCTGGGTCAAAATCCTGCATCTCCTTTCCTAACAGCACTATGGATTTACCTACCTACCATGTACTGCAGCTCATCACAACCTCTTAAAGGCAATTAGGGGTGAAAACAAATGCTGAACTAGAAATTGAGATGTACAGTTGATGCATGAATGTAGGAAAATATTCAGGAGAAGGAAGTAGATGGTTACAACGGTAAATTTCGACAAGAAAATAAAGAAGGAAAACGAAGTGGAGCATAAATGCTGTCATGGACTGGATGGGCTGAATGGCCTATATATAAATAACATAATATAATATATATCATATATTATCTATCTAATAAAGGTCAGTGGCATAGGAGCAGATTGAGTCAGGGGCAGGATTGCTCAATATTAGGAATGCACATGGCCACCGCTTCTCAGTTGCTGGCACTAAGTCACTAAGCCAACTGCAACTGTCTGCCAGATGATTGGTGAACATGATCTGAGATGAAACTGACCTTATTTTAATTTTACTTAACTGCAACTATCCTTTGACATTACCTCTGGGAAATGAATGGAGGAACCCCAGAACTCCATTGCCCTTTGGACCACAAGTTTGCAATGCCACATGTGGTGTCCAGGTGAAGATGGCTCTTTGATATGTTTTTAGTAGCACCAGCCTGGTGTGATTGGAGTTCCCATTTATCTTGTTCAGGATTTCATTTTCTTTAAGGAAAAGACTGTGCACATTTAAGCATTCAATTATTTTTGTGAACAATGTAAAAATGGACCAGTGGGGATCATTTTTTTCAATCTCTGGTTTATCCCAACTGGTATATAGGAACCTTTCAAAATTAATGTGCAAAACCTCAATTATCAAGCGATAATGTTTGTGGAAGCTTGTTAAGTGCTAATCGGCTGCATGTTTCATACATTACAACAGCAATCATGCTTCAAAATGTACTTCAATGGCTGTGAAAGCTCTTAAAGCAGTCTGGTGGTCAGTATATAAATAAAAGTCTTTCTTTCATTTTAATGCATCAACAGTTTTGAAAGTTCCAGTAACAATAAAGTATATCAAAATCAATCTGTCTTGGGCAGAAGCACCTAAACTGAGAGTGGGTAGGAAATTAACAGGCTGCAGGAAGATCCTAAACAGCCCTTACTGTCATCAATGTCAACACTAAGATTGTCTGTCTATTTACACCTTTGTAACATCACCGGACTGCATCCCTGTCTCTGCTCATTTGCCTCTGATACTCATTAATGCCTTTATTACCTCTAGACATGGCTATCACAATGCACTCTTGGCCACCTTCCCACATCTTACTGTCTGTAAACTGGAGGCCACTCAGTCTGCCCCCTATCCTTAATCACACAAAGTTCTGTTTACTCATTACTCTTGGGCTCACCAATGGTCAACCAAAGCCTGAATTTTAAAGTTCTCTATTAAGTTCAAGTCCTTCAATAACCTTTCCCCTCCCGATCATTATCATCTCTTCGAGCTTCACAACACTTCAAGATCTCTGTGGTTGTTTAATTCTGGCCTCTTTAGAATCCAATGGCAGTGGCAGCTGTGCCTTAGCCTCTCAAGGTCTTAAGCTCCGGAATACCAACCGAAAATCGCTCTGTCTCCTTACTTGTTGCTGTTTTAAGCTGTTCAATAAAACCTACCTCTTCACCCAAAGTTTTCACTATCTGTCCTGATATTGTCTTCTGTGGTTCAATATCAAATCTTACTTTAGAATGCTTCTGTAAACAGTCTTCGGAATTTTAGCATGTTAAAAGCAGTGGTGTGATATGAAGATCAGTTATTGTTGTTGTTCCTTTAATGATGTTGCTATCCTTTCAGGCCTCAAAACTGTTAGAACTATGTCTCTCTTTTTGAGCATTCAATGTCTGCCCTTCCACCATGATTCACTTCATTGTGAGACAATAAATGTCCTCGAGAAAATCACATGATTGCCTATCACAGGGCTATGAATTCTTGATGGGCTCCATGAATTTCACTGAGACGTATTAGATGGGAGAAAGCTACTTTCCTCCCTCAACACAACCTGTTGATATTACACAGTTATAACTCACTCACAGAGAGACACTCTTTCAAAAAATTCTTCCATTAAAGATTATGAACAGCTCTCAGACATATCTAGACATCAATTACATAATATAGTTGACTATGTAATTTCAAAGCAGTTAAGTTTTCTGTTGTTAATTTAGAACACCCTATTGCAGTTTCCTTCGGGCAAAAAAGACACAAAACATAATAATCTGCTTTAATTGCTTGTCATGCTGCAATATAAAATTCTGATCTGAATCCCTAATGATCTCTATTATCAGCAACATCTGTCTGGATTTGGTTAGACGAGTTCTTATAATGTTTCTAATCATAATCTACCTGCTAATCTGCCCTGTCATATACATGACAGCAATGCTAATTAAGTAAGAACATTATTTTGAGTCCTCCTTCTTTGATGTTATTATAATTTGTGATTATCAAACAGAATATTATTAAAGGACGCACAAATTTAAGGATATAAGATCAAGTGTTATTTTCCTTACTGTTGAAAAACAAACTGCTCCACAGTGAAACATACATTTCAACTGTGGAAGTTTATGAAAGCTAAAAATGCTGACAATAATCAAACAAAAATACTCCAAAAACATAGATTAGAGAATACCTGAAAGGTAAGAATAGGCTAATAAATTTCAGAATAGATGCAATAAAGGGTCTCACCCAAAACCATAACCTTTCTACTTCAGATACTGACATTCTGGTTTGCATTGCTTTTTACATCTCAAACTTTGGCAGTGAATTCCAGACAAGATCAAGCATGAAGGGAACACATTTACATGATAACAATTCTAATTGCCAATCCTTCCGTTCATTACAAACATTCTTACCTCCAGTCTGGTTCTATCCACATCCTTTGGTAGCTTGACACGTGCTTTCATTGTAACAGCTAACATTTCATATGGATAAACCTGAAACAAGTTAAAGTAACTGAACAGGACAAACTCAGTTGTAACTCTTTTTTTTAAATTTCTGATGGCAACTTAACATCTCAGGAAATCTTAAGGCTGGAAAAGATCACAGATTCATCTAACCTACCTTTTTGCTATCCCATTAACCTCTCATCTCACTTTTATTTTTTAATAACAACCAGACATTAGCTTGACATTTTGAGAGATTACATTGTTTTTCTATTTTTTCTTTGTCATTATTTTGACAATAATTCTATAATTTCTCTACTTATGTTGTAATCTAAATGCATGATTTTACACTTGCCTATTAAAACTGAATCTGCAATTACTATCTTAGGTTGCTATAAAATCTACATCCCTATGGATCTGGTGAGAACAGTGGGCTGAAGGTATCAGAGAAGCATGAGCAAGAGGAATTTAACTGGATGTTGACATCACTGTATACAGAAATAGTAAGTGAGCAGTGAGAGTGGAGAAGATTACAGTAAGACAGGCAGCTTTGAGTAGTAAGAATGAAATTGCTGAAGGAGAGGCAAAATGAGTGGCAGAGTTAGCTCAATTGGCTGGATGGCTGGTTTGTAATGCAGACTGATGCAAACAGTATGAGTTCAATTCCCATAAGGTCATCATTGAAGGATTCACCTTCACAACATCTCCCCTCACCGGAGGCATGATGTCCTCCAGTTAAACTATCATCAGTCATCCCTCTCTCTGGGAGTATGGTGACTTTAATGCCAGCATTTTGAGGAGGAGAAAATGCAGTGGGATATATAACTAGAGGAGTTGGCTTAGATTGGGGAAATGGAATGGGGTAAAAATTGTCAATGATTCAGGTTTCAGTCAGACCTAAAGTATTAATGGATTTTTGGAGAATTAGGTTATCAACTAATTTTCTATGCAAAGAGAGGGATATTTTTGCAGGGATAAGTTATGAGCATAACAGAGAGGGAAAACAAATATGTGTTCAAAGGGTTGGTAATGGAAAGAGGGCTCCAAGGGAGATAGACAAAGTTACCTTTTGCGGATCAGTCAGTTGGGCAAAAAAGGAATCATTTCAGATTGACTTTAAATATTGTTTTGAATAAAAGATAAGTCATTTTTGTTTTCTGTTCCTTTCTCTTCCTAATCAGTGATACTTGATAACGATTCATTAAAATTAAAGCTTAAAAAACAACTTTAACTTTGATGTTCTTTCTGTCTACATGGTGAGACACATTTGCCTTTCATACTTCAATGATGGGATTGCTAAAATCAAGAGCTCATTTTGTAGGGAATCAATGATTTGGCTCCTGTGGTACCATTCTGTAGCTCACTTAAAATGCTTTCACTATTCAATACAGAATTGAATAAAACATGAGGGAAAGAAAGATCGAGGATTTAACCTGGTCAGACGCACTTGGTAGATGGTGGATAAGACTTAAGTTGAGAAGTCAACTTCTTACCTTGTATTCTGTAAAGACAAGAGATCATTTTAATGAGATTTGAGGAATGACTTTAAAGAATTAGAACATATTACTGAAAATCAAAACAGTTATAGATTTTGAAAATCAATTATGTACTTGAAATGTTTTCTCACCTCGCATTCCCCAGCTGGTATCATGATTTGATTCAAAATCTGAAGTCTAGAAACGAATCATCAAATAAGTATATTAGAAGCTGTTATGAATGTCAAAAACATTGACAATTGTGTGAATGCATTGTTCACGAAGGTTAAGAATGTCAGATGTGCAGGTGCTGGTGTTGGACTGGGGTGGACAAAATCAAAAGTCACACAACACCAAGTTATAGTCCAACAGGTTTAGTTGAAATCACAAGCTTTCGGAGCGCTGTTCCTTTGTCAGGTGAAGTTACTTCACCTGATGAAAGAACAGCGCTCCGAAAGCTTGTGATTTCAACTAAATCCATTGGACTATAACCTGGTATTGTGTGACTTCTAAGAATGTCAGATGTCATAAACTGAAACGTTCCAAAAATAGCAAGTTTCAATTAGGCTAGGTGAAGAATAATACCCTAATATAATAAAACAAATAACTGTGGATGCTATTAATACGCTGTTTAGTCTGGTTCACCAATATACAGTCATTGTTAATATTCCAGTGCCAGCAGAAATGGTTAGGCTTGGACAGTTTTAGATCCAGATTCTACAGGCTGGTACAAGAGCTGGATACGAGCAGGCTGGTAGAGCAATCATAAAACAATCATTGGCCAATCACCAAGCTACCGAACCGTCAATCTTTTGATCAGGCTATTAGTGATTCTGTATGAAACAAAGAATCTGACAATATTATTTGTGGAGAGGGAATCGCAGAATTAATATTCCAGGTTAATGTCAAAGATTCTGGTATGTTATACCTTTTCTCCAAAGATACTGCCAGATCTACTGAGCGTTTCTTGCATTTCCTATTTTTATTTCAGAAAAAAAATGTAGTGGACCCAAAAGCCTTTACTTATGGATACTACTCCTGAATGTAAAAATGAAATTGGCCAGTTTTTGGTGATTTCCAAAAACCTCTGCTTCTCCTCCCTGCCGCAGCCATCCAATTCACACCCTCCTCCAACCACTCCACCCCACAATGGGGCCTACAGTCATCATCGAAAGGTTAGAATGACTCACTTCTCACACGTTGTAGGCCCCTATTAAACCAGGAAAACAGGCAACACTGAACAAGGGAATACACCAAAATTTCAGAACCATTAACTTTTGTGGTGTTCATTTCTTTCTATTTACACCAGTTTTATATTCCCACCCCTGCCAAAGAAATAGGCTTTTAGGAAGTCTCTTATATATTGAACCAAATTAGATTTAGCTCTTACTCAGACATTCCAAAGATGGTTATACATCATGTTCACTATTACATTAACAAACCTCATTTAAAGACACAAATTTAAAACATAAAACCTACTTACCTTGTGTAATTTATTTTTTCCATAACCAGGAAGGGAAGCTGATTTGGAATGAGGAATTCCTGTAAAAAAGTAATTGCATTTCAGTAACTAAGATTTATTTAAAATAGTTTGTTTGATCTACTCCTCAGTGGGTTAAACAATATCCCCCAAATAGACAAGACATTCAATGCTACCCAGTTTAGTGAATAAGATTATCAATTGGTCAAACAACTAAATGAGAATTAAACTGTCAGTGTGCAGAATACACCTACTTGTTTGAAAGAGTGATTCACTGCTTGACCTTTGCAATAGTTCTCTGTCAGCAGCAGGACTTCGAGATGATGTTTTAGGGTCCAGTTCAGGGGAGACAGCTGTGGCATCCATTTCCCCCTTCAGTTCCAACCAACTTGTCTTCATCTAGAAATGATATCTACAGTCAACGATTTACTAGTGGCTTCAGCAATAAAACCAAACTATAGATGCAATCTGATGCAGTTTTTCTTACTTTTTAAAACTTGCTGAACAAAGCCGGATGAAATACCAATCTGAGATTTAATTTATTGTTGTATGATTTCTTTCTAACTTGCACATATCTTCAAATGATCAGTAACGAAGAGGAAACTATTCAGCTCTTCTAACATATCAATTCAGAGATACCCTAGAATCCTACAACTCCAAAATCAAATGGTTTGCTAAAATATTCCAGGGTTTTCATCTTCCATCCTCGATCATAAAAGAACTACTAACATCAGTTCTGAATTTATTTTTTATGAGCTTAAATCTGTGCACTCTTATCTGACTCTCAAAATGTAATTTAAATTAAATATTTTGGACTTGTATCTTCCCATTGACTATCTAATACTTGTTGCAGCGTTCAGTTTCATAAGATAATGGTTTGAGCTGTGGTGGTTAAATCTGTGTTAAGCATTACTAGTTGTAGCTCAGGAGCCCCATCTTGCATACCAGTGTCTGCCTCATTTTACTGTGGAGGAAGATAGTAGGCTGAGAAGGTGAGAGATTTGCTGGCCTCTGTTTTCCTTGGGACCGCTTCTCACCCAGCTGAGCCTTTTGTCTTGCTCGTGTTTTCCAAGTCCATCCAGACAGTCAGCCTCCAGAGGTCATGACTGTCAGTGACTGTGACAATGGCTGTCATTTTCATAAAAACCAAAAGAACTGTGGATGCAGTAAATCAGAAACAAAAACTGAAGTTGCTAGAAAAGCTTAGCAGGTCTGGCAGCATCTGTGAAGAGAAATCAGAGTTAACGTTTTGGGTCTGGTGACCCTTCCTCAGAACTCAAACGTTAACTCTGATTTCTCTTCACAGATGCTGCCAGACCTGCTGAGTTTTTACAGCAACTTCTGTTTTTGCTGTCATTTTCATATTTTGCTTGCAGGTGCCCTTGTGGTGAAAGTGTGGATATCCAGGACAGCATAATCCAGTAAATTCACTGTCCAGTAGATCTTTTGGTATACATCTGTCATACATCTGATGAACATGGCTGAGCCAGTGCAGATGTTGCTGGCTTCACAATAAGTGTACGCTGATGAAATATGAACATTCTAGGATCTCTTAGTTGGTGACCAGGTTCTGCCAAGTGATGCTGAGGATATATCAAAAACCTTGAGAGTGTAGAGTATTCAGCCTTTTCTCCTATCATGCAATGATTGTCCAGGTCTCACTGCAGAGGAGTGCACTAAAGAGGCAAATTTGATACACTTGTAGTTGGCATTCTCAGTCGGGTCATTGTTTCTCCGTATTCTTTTACTCAGCTGAGATGTAACAAATGAAGATTTGTGACACACATATTGATTTCAGGATCAAGTGATGGATTGTTAGTGACCGAGCAGCCCAGACATGTGAGCTGTCAATGTGTTCAGTATCACATTGTCAATGTTAATAGATGGCATAGTGACAACTCCCTGAACCCATTACATTTGTCTTCATGACCATGGGTCAGAACCTTGAAGTATTATGGGCATGTATAACTTGTAATTCAAAAATGAGTTTTTAAAGGATGGCCAATACAGTTAAAAATGTAAAGACTGCAAATGTAAGTTAAGTGGCTGTCTGAAGAGAGAGACCATGGAATGTCGCAGCTAAAGATGCAAAGAGAACTTCAAACAACAACAGTCAAAGGAGGAAGAGGTAATTAAAACAGAATGTAATCTCTTGTGACTACAAAGATAACAAGCAGTTGACCATCCCCTTCTCAACAGCAAGCCAATCCTTGTAGATTATGCCACAAACTGCAGACCCACTTTGTGTTTTTCCATTTGAATACACAAGTGTTAAAAAAGAGAGTTGCAGATCTACTGGAGTGTACTAGTAAGACTGAGGTTCTCATGTGTGCCAGTGGGCTTAGGTACCCTCATATATGAACTTGCTTTTGAGCATTAGTAGCTTGTGAAGGTCACAGTCAAACATCTATCCCCTCATCATTCTTGCATTGCAAGTAAGGAGATTCTCTTGTTCTGACTGCCAAAAGTCAACTAGTAGCAAATCAAGCAAAACAAACCTCAACCATCCTGCAAAACTAACATTATTGGTAACCTCCAGCGCAATGTTCACAATGTTTAATTATCTGTTCTACTTGAACAGTTCAGAGACTGATCCATCTATGTGCTTTGTTTAAATTTTATCTTTTTGACCCAGTTTTTATTTCTAATCTGCATTGTGTTACTAATTATTTTACATGTGGTACTCAATAAACATACAATTTCATTAACTTAAGAAAGCCTGGTTAAATTGATCCTTTGAAAATGCAAGTTCATTTGGTTTTGGGAGATGAGAATTTGCGAAGGAAGGGATCACTTCTAAATTGATCTTGTTGCAACCAACTAATAAGGTAAGTGAATAAAGTTGAAGAGGTGAAAGGCATTTGGTTAGGTATATGAATAGTAAGGGTTTAGAGGGAAATGGGCCAAATGCCAGAAAATGGGACTAAATTAATTTAGGATTTCTGGTCAGCAAGGATGAGTTGGACAAAAGCGTCTGTTTCTGTGCTGTACAGCTCTTTCACTCTATGACTCTATAGCTCATCCTTTCTCATCTGGTAGCTTAATATGCAAATATCCCACCTGGAACCAAAACGGATTGGGGAATCTTATGCGGGGTGTGGATGTAATATGATGATGGTCAAAACAAACTCTTTAAAATTGTGAGAGAGTCTGTCAATTTTCTGCTGAAGGGTCTTCTCTGTATGAAAAGGAAGTATGGCAATGTCAGCATACAGCAACTTTCTGATGAAGATTTGATGTAAATTTGTCTTGGATCTCAGGCAAATAAGACTGAGTATCTTTTTGTCAGTTCTAGTGTGAAGTAGACATCCTCTGTAGATGACCAGAAGACATATGACAGCAGCAATGAGAGGATATGCCAAAGTGTGTCAGTGCCAGATCATAACTCTGTTTGACATCATTGTAGATTTCAAAGAGTTCTGACAGTAACCCATTTGGCTGACTTTACGTGTCATGTTGTCACTGAAAGAGGAAATTACAATGAGTAGCTTCGGCATGCAGTCAATTTTCTCCAGCAGTTTAAATAGACAATGTCTGCTCACAGCTTTGAATATCTTGGTGAGATTGATGTGATTGAAACCAGTCTGCTAGAATTAATTGCAATTGAGATCCAAGTGAGAAATCTCTGAATGCACTAATGGCTGTTCAAAGCAAAGTCCAAGAAACTATTAAGTAATACATCAATCACTACTAATTATTACTTTGCTGAAATGGTCAGATGCTGTTTGACACAGAAGAAGTTAGAGACATGTATGAAGAAATCAACAGGCAACAGAGCCATCAGCAAAGAGAGTAAGTACAGTAAAAACAAAGATGGGCATGTCATCACTAACAGGAGTAAACAGTGGAGAAATGGGTGAGACACTACTATGAGCTGTAGTCTAGAGAGAACAATGGAACATATGAAGTTCTAGACAACATTCATGGCATAATGAACCCACAGTAGAGGAGCTCATCAAAATTACTAATTCATTGTCATGGGCAAAGCTCCAAGTGCTGACACTATACCACTTGAACATATCGTGCTTGTAAAACTGACACTCCTGTAGCATCTGATTAAACTTCTCTGTCTCTGATCATTGGAGAGGGCTGTGCTTTAGAATATTTGTGATGCAAAGATTGTAACCCTGGACGAAAACAAATGCAAATGCAGCAATTACACCAATCAGTTTGCCATCTCCCTGATGAGCTTTGTAGAAAAAGTGTTTGTCCATTGTCCATGTTTCCCTTATCAGATTGCAGATGGTTTCAGATCTGGAGGTTTTGCAATTTACATGATTTTATAAACCTGATGGCTACTATATAAATACATCAGATTCAATCACAGTGCTGTTAGCCTTGAACCAGTCAGTAACTTTCTGCTCTTGCTTCCCATATGTTGAAGGGACACAATTGTAGCTGGTATATTTCATGTCTGGCCATTGTTTTGGAAAGATACTTAGTTTTGCAGATTTTTTGAGTTTCTGAACTTGTGGTTCCTTTTGACAGAGATTGAATTCCAGCATTTAGGGTCAGAGTGCGTCCTTCTGTTGTCCTGTTTCCTTTCTTTATGGCTGGGAGCTAGCTGACTTCCAGACAGTCCCTCTACCTGCAGTACACGGGTGACGTAAGGATAGTTCTTCAACTGTGACCTTCACAGCATACTTAAACTCAGGCTGGTACATGAGAACATTTAGCCCTACTAGTGCATTCCAGTAGAGCTGAAAAAGGCTTTTTAATCCCTAGTCTTCAACTAGAATAACACATAACATGTCTGTAGTTTGGGACATAACCTGTAGTGAGTGGTCAACCTCTCATTATCTTTGAGATCACAGTTCAGTCTGTTTTAAAGTGCTTCTTTCACCCTTTCAAAGACTGTTGTATGAAATTCCCTTCACATCAGTAGGTATGACATTCCTTAGGTCTCTCTCTCGACAGCCACTTAATTTACATTCACAGCTAATTTTGGCTGTTATCAGCCCTCTTGCAAAGAACAACGTATTTTGAAATTGCAAGTTTAAAAAGTGCGCAATACTTTGGGGTTCTGAGCTGTGGTTATGACATTGCATGTGTTGAAATGGTGTTCAGAGAGTCACATCTGATGACAATAAGATCTAGCTGGTGTCAAATCCCTGATTGTTCCTTTAAATTTTTCCATAGCCAAATAAAATGTGATGCTTTTCTTTCAGCATTCCATTCTCAGTGAGTCTGGTCTCATTTAGGGAAACAATGTTGATGTTCAGCCTCGTCAAGGTCCAAGTCTTACACACATTATCGACCATCTGCAAGTCATCTGTCAGTTCTGTGTGCAGAATCCTTAAGTGTAGTGTTTATTCTCTTTGCTTATTTATTTGTTTGCCAAGTACATGAGATTACATCTATTTCCTGAACCCAGGCTCTAAGCACCATGCACCCACTGA